CGACGCTCCTGTGAGTTCCATTGCAGACTTTCTCATGTATCTGTTCCACTCGGGCCTCCACATTACCACCATCCGCAACTACCAGTCGGCCTTGGCAGCCGTTCATTCGGGCATCAGCAATGGATCAATGGTCTTTGATAACACTGCCATCTACCATCGTCTTCCAGGAATGTTTGTTTAGCATCCTCACGTCAAATGCCCTGTTCTATCCTGGGTCCTTGGAAGCATGTTACGCGTTCTCGCCGGTCCCCCTTCGAGCCGCTCTCTGATGTATCTAACTCCATCTCAGCATCAAACCAGCATTCTTCCTTGCAGTTGTCATTACATGCAGACACAGTAGCGAATTGCATGCTCTATCAATTGCCAAAGGTCACATCTGCTGGGAGCCGCAAGGGGTTCGCCTTATCCCAGCCATCAAGTTTTTGACGAAAAATCAGACGCCTACCTTCCGGTCTCCTGACATATTCGTTCCTGACATAACCTCACTTTCGGGAGGTGACTCTGACAAGAAATGGTGTCCGGTTCACACGCTCAAGTGGCATATGTATCTTGCCAGGACCAAGTGCCACTGAGAGTCTAGTTCCCAGTTCTTCATCACTGCGACAAAACCATTTCAACCAGCGTCAAATGACACTATTGCCCTATGGATGGTTTCAGCCATCATCTTCATGAACTGAGACTGGTCGGCACAACATGACGAGATGACCCGATCTCACATCAGGGCTCACTATGTTCGGGCTGCCTCCCCGTCCTGGTCATACTTCAGAGGAGTTCCTCTAGCGAAAATCTGTCAGGCGGCTTGCTGGAGATTCCCCTCCACCTTCACCGAGTGCTATCTGACGGATGTCCTGCAGAGCAAAACAGCTCATGCTACAGTGACCTTGCGTTCGGTGGTCCGGACAATGTCCAGCAGTGTCCCGGGCTGGACGGTAAATACCTCATGAGACAATTCTTTCTTCTGGTGAGTGTTCGCTTGGATGACGCCTGTCTGTGTTAGTTAGTAACTACACTCCCATCACCGACCAACCTCCAGGGTACGGTGCCACTCTGCATATGTAGGCTGGGCAGGGGTATGTGAACGCAGGCAACTACTTCCCCACTTGGAGTGGCTCAGGTCTCCTAGTGATACTTACCCCTGCTCAGCCACTCCCGCCCGTCCTTCCCCACTTTGGCTCCGGTGATCTCACCGCTTTGAAAAGGACAAACATGGCGGTGGGACCGCAATGCATTGTGGAAGGTCAAGGGGCGGAATACATAATCAAGTCTTTTCAACGAATTGTAATAGGCACTTGGGAAATTTGCATATGTAGGCTGGGCAGGGGTAAATATCACTAGGAGACCTGACCCACTCCACGTAAGGAAGGACTTTTTTACTTGAAAATTCACCAGTGAAATACATGTAATGAAATGATTGAATTTACACCCATCAGAAGAGGTATTATACATGACCCTTAGAGAGCCCCATTTTCTTCTTTGTTGAGTGAAATTGTTGCTATAGTTTCATGAGGCCTACTACCCATTACATGTTATGACAAATTCCCTATCCATTCTACCTTTTTCAGGACTGTCCCATTGATCAGGTAAAGGTGACAATGTAACGCGAGTCACCACTACACATAAAAGTTATCTCTTTACAAAACCCCAGGGGAAACTGAGGTTGACAATTATAAACCTCCTTCAGGGTTAAATAAACCAAAATATAATAATAACCCTGAGTTACCTGCCTAGGATAATACATCTGGCACCGAAAGTTGGTAACACGAATTACTTGTAATGCAAGTCACAGCATTTAGGGGTAGGGTAACATGAATCACAATTCAAGTTGACCATCAGTCTGATGATGTTGCTGGAAGAGACTGGTGGTTTGTGAGGTACATGTTTGAGGGGAAATGTTATGCTGGTGCAGTTAAGAAAATGGCATGGTGATTTCCAGGTTTCTGTTATGGAGCCAGCAGGCCAAAATTTAGACTTGATGACAAGTCGTTAGATAGTCATGATTTGTGTGTGACCTTGAGTCGAAATCTATTAGTGCAGCTCTAGTCTAAAATAAGTAATATGCTTGGCCATGTTCCAACTTATCTAATGACTTGACTGATTCCTTCACTGTTATTCAGATATATGCGTGCAGCTCAGTACATATGTGGTACTTTCTGCAGTGAAATCCAGTGGCACAAAGCCATGCATGCAAGAGGATTCATCCATGTTTAGTTAAACGGGGGTTTCTTCTTAATACATCATGGCATATGAGCAGATCCGGAAACACTAAACCATAATTAAATGCAAATGGGTCAGTTGTGAATCGAAATAAAACAAATCACTGAAGTTATTTGATTTTACATAATTTTGACATATAATTAATTTTGTAAATTTGCACAACGTGAAGTACAAACCCGAAAAAGCTGCAAATGTATAGTCGTATCGTTTTCAGTATTGGTTGGTGAATGATGGACATTGACAAATTTGAACGTACACGTGTCCTTGTTATTTAGGACACTGCTTAAAGCTTGTAGTTGCTCAGGTCTTACAATGCGTACTGACTACTGTATCATCTTTGACTTCATTTCGAAGCACTACATTTTATGGTACATGTACAAATATCCTTTAATTAACCCCCTTAGGGTGTATGTAAAATCATATTTAGATTGGAAGATTTGGACTGTTAGGGTTATGTGTAGATTATAGCACCTATTGCGCATGTAGATCGTAATGATATTGCACTTGGACAACAATTGTTGCCAAACCAATTACTGGCTTGGCACCTAGTCTAGCCAAAAGTGGAAGTGACCATCTTTCTCAAATGAGATTTTTCGGGTGGTTGAGAGAGATGAATTCACCAGTCACTGGCAGCCACGGAGGCCGTTACAGCTTCTTGACTAGAAGCTCTTTGTATAGTGATTTCCTTCGCTTTTGAGTAATCCACTGGCTTGTTTTCTATTTGTAACATAATTTTCTGTATCTTGTGCTCTATGTATTTGTATTGCCCAAAAATAAATAGAAAGACGAGGCAGGACCACACTGGACTGCACGGACCAGAACTTCGTTTCCACATACATGTGTACATGTAGCTTGCTGGAAAAAATTTGTGGCAATATTTGCAACCAGAGAGCGAGTCGTGAATTTGGTTATGAATATTGATGGCAATATTGATGTTTGGTGATGTCCCTCCAGGGCCACCATACGTGACTCCTAATGACGTCATAATGTTAATTTTCTTTTGAGAACCTCTCCAGCTGATGCACTTAGAGTGTACACTAATATAATGTCAGTTCGATTGGTTACAGTGTCTGCCTAAGTCTGGCTGTTGAAAAACCAATCAGGAATTTTAATATTCATATTTCAATAATAAATCATCTGATGACATCATCATGACATATTTCTTCTAAGACCATCCTTGGAGCATTATGGCAGTTTTGCTTATGAAGCTTCTCCAGCTGGTGGATGAAGACTGTGGACCTAATATCAGTGCAGTCAGGTCAAGCACAGTGCCAAAGTCTGGCTGTTGAAAAACGTGTACAAAACCTATGTGAAAAATTAGATATTGAAAATTCAAAAATAAATCATGTGATGATGTCATCCCTTTGACTCCCCTGACAGATACCATTCTTTTACTGTTCCTTTACGATGTATGATTCCTTGTGTAAATAATCTTGTTCCGAGTTATCTATCTGAACACATTGTAAAAGTCTCTGATATCCACAGCTATGGAATGAGACAACTACAGAGTCTAAATCAAACTGTTATCAGCATAATGCATTTGTTCAAGGTTTGTCAGTATGGAACACCTCAAATCTTGACATAAGATCATCTCCATCTATTGATATATTTAAGAAATCTGTGCTGAATGATCTTGTGTCAAAAACGTAGCAAATTGTCCACAATGTGTATGTTACTTTAAACGCCATTTTAATTTTTAAATTTAATTTAATCTGATATTCTTTGTACTTAGTGTTAATTCTTAAGTATTTTGTTGTTCTATTGTCTATTTTAATATGTGTCTTTTCAGTTTTCAATTTTCAGTTGTACTCAGTTTTCGTCTTTTTTTGCTTACTTCTATGTTGTCTTTCTATAATTATGCGTTGTTTTATTTGGTGACTGTCTGTGTGTGTTGTTGTTTAATTCTTTGTACCTTCTATTTTGCCTTAAAATTGTCTTACATGTTTTACTTTTCTTTCCTTTTATTTGTATGTACCTTACTTTTAATCGTACCTTTTATATCTTGCCCCAGGGCCCTGTGAAAGACCACTTTGTAGTGAACGGGCTACCCTGGTTAAATATAAGAAAAATAATAATAATTTCTTCTAGTACCATCCTTGGAAGACCTAAACAAAAAGGTCTGCCAAGTTTGAAATTAATCAGATGTATAAAACTACCGACATCCCGTCACAAAAAGACGTGTACAAACCCTAGGGAGAAAAGTTTGAAAAAGTCAAAAGACAAAAAGAAGACAGAAAAGGAGAAAAAACTTTGAAAGCAATAGCTGTTTTGGCATACTGTCGAAGCAGCTACTGCTTTCATGAAACTTTCAGAAAACACTAAAAAGTGTCAGAAACAGGGTGGACCAAAAGCAGAAGCCATCTGTGCTTTGGCAGGATTTGGTTGAAAATTCACCCTTTTTCTAGCTAACAATCTTAGAGTGTTTTTTTTAATAATGTAATTCTTTCTACTTCCATTTATCCACAATTTTCATAATATCTGCGGGTTCATTGATCTTAACACCTGTAAACATGGAGGATGCTCTCTCGTTAGTTCTTGCCTTTGTTACTGTGATTCTCTGTATTGTGTATATGCACCTAATGATAAGAATGAAAAAGGATTACTAAAAATTTTTTCTGGTGGTGCTCAAAGGAAACGGTACTCATTGATACATATGCATCAATGAGTCAATACTAATATGTGTATGCCAAGAAACGGTAGGTCTGCAGACCTACCACTGTTAGTGGGTAGCAAATGCCACAAATGTTCTCAAACATTAAGTTGCATCTCTATTCTTTTAATGCAAGGACAAGTGCTCAGCGTGACCCTCTAATTCTGCTGTCTAGGGATGACAGAGATCTTGTGGATGCACAGTATACCAAGAACCAGGCCTGGAAATCTGATGCAGTAAGTAGCTGTTACATGTTAATTTCAAAGGACGAGCTGTTTTACAGAGTGTTACTTAAGAGAACTATTTATTATTACATAATTTTTCCAATGTTCACTGTAAATCATACACACTTGAACTGTTAATAACTGCATGTATCTAGCTAATTTAGGCAACACAAATTGTCCATAATTTTCCTTTTAAATCACAAGACTATCCTGGCACCTGTACACCTTACTGTTACTGTTCTCTAGTGAAAGTTATAATGAAATCACCATACATGTATGTCACTTGGAATCGTCCCAAATCTTATAATGCCTATGACATGTTTCATAAATTGTGTGAAAAAAATTAACTGTTGTTCTGACTCGCAAGGTTAAGTGCTATTTGCTGGAAAATGTGCAAACATGACCTTGCTATCTGTATGCACAGGTACAGCTGATGACTGGCAAAACATTAATACACTTACATGTAGGCTCACCCTTGGCTGATGTTTAAGTATGCTATCCCAGTTTGCTTTGTACACACACCTACATGTAAGTCTGAGAATTATATGGAGGTTGACTGTGTGTTGAACTTGGCCACTGTACATTGCCTGTTGTAGTAAATATTGCTCCAGGAGTGCCTTGGAGTGTTGAAAAAAATATACCGTGGGGAATGGCCGGTTATCTTGCACTTTCTTGCCGCACATCTTGGATATTTGTCATTTATACTTCAAACTGTTCATGACAATAATAGAAAACTCACAAAAATGAGATCCACAGTTCATTAGTCCATCAGTTTTTGCTAAAAATTGCCAAAAAATATTATTGTCCTGTTTTCGGGATATTTACATCATCATTTTCCAACAACCAATAAATCAGGCTGTTATGTCAGTGTACACAATACGTCATAATTATCGACCAATAGTAGAGGCCGTATGTAAGAGTGTTAGGAAGATGGCTGACAACATGAGCTCCTCGGATAACAGCAATTCGGACGAAACACAGTGCATTGTACATATATCTAGTGCTGAATCAAGGATTTTGTAAAATTCCATAACTGTGTTGGAAGATGGAAGAATGTACCGCAGTTAGCGTGAGCTAAAATTGTTGAAAAGCAGAGATGTACTGTACCATGGCTGTTACACACGTTGACATGGAACTGGAAGGAGTGCACAGGACTCATCAACGGTAGGTATTTAACATTAACATTAGTCCCTACGAATGTAAAAAAAAGATACGCCATTCTATCTATTACACCAAATGTTAGGCCTAGTTCTTTTGAGGTAGCCTGTATTCTGATCAAATCTTCTTTGTTGCTATTAAAACAATGCAAAATTGGATATGAATAGTGGAGCTAAGGCCCAGGCGTGCCAAGGTTTAGTCATGTTATTTGTCACTCTGAGGTCATGCAGGTGGTCACATTTATTTCAGGATTGTCATTCTCCCATGCGTGTTTATAATCAAATTCAGAGGCCAAGGCATGCATTAGCATAATTGGCTGGTTTTGAAGGGCAAAGTCTTTGTAATCACTTGATGACTAGTAAAGAAAATAATCCTTGAAGACATCAGCAATGCATAGGCCTAACCTGGAGAGAGCTCCACATAATGTATGTACGGAGGGACAACACTTGATGCCCCTTTGCATAAAACCTATGTGTACATGTAAGCATAGCGTATGAGACTAGTTTGAAAAAATTTATAAGTCTAGTGATATTAAGTAAATGCTTCAGAATTTTCTTTGCATTGTGAAACAGTTGAAATGTTGCAGCCAGTGCTTTCGATCCTTTATTTTCAATTACAGGCATATGGATACCATTAGCCGTACTATAAGTGTTTCTGCAACGTTTCCCTGATAGACCATACAGAAAGGCTTCATGGAACCCCCTTTGGCCCAGGAGGGTGACGGCATTCATGATACCAGCACATCTGCAATGTGCTGTGCATGCTTCATTTGGTTCCTTCCCAATAGTGGCAACTACCCCAGCGAATAAGACGCCGCGTATGTCATGTTTGCTAGGATTTTGGTGCGCTCTCCACACTTCTCCTTCATCACCGAGCGTACACAGAAGTCGAAAAATGCTTGCTGGTTTCCACCTCTTATTTCTGCCAATTTGACACCTCCACGTCTGTGTCAACATATTAGGCCAGGGTAAGAAAAGGAAGCATCAGGAGGACCAAGTTGGGTGCAGAAAGCCTCTGCCATCGAGTCAAACCAGGGCCCAGCCAAGAGCCCTACGGACCTTTCTCAGCCCGCAATCCGGCACATCGCGACATGCATCAGAGCCATGCTCAAGTACAAGTAGCACCGCTGCAGTGCTGCAATAGCGCCCTCAGGGGGCGGCTAGTTTGGCTATGGCAGCTTCCACCATGGTGTCAGCTAGTCACACAACCACACCGCCAGGTTCGTCACCTCCTGGTATTACAACCGCCAGCTCGTCTCTCCCAAGCGACAGATACCTCCAGCTCCCCTCACCCGCTCAGTTAGCACGGCACTAGGACCCACCTTTGGCTGCAGGATCGTTACACTCTACCAGCTGCTGCATTCAGTCCCCACGTGACAGTGGTGATCACGGTAATGGCGGTGGCTACAGCAGTCTACCTGAGGCTGCTTGCACACTGACAGCAAGTTCCACCACTACTTTCCCAGCTTATGCGACTTTCGGCTACCAGCTGGGGTATTGCACCGGCGGCTCCTACCTACCAAGTCCTAACCTCCTCCAGCATGTCCAACAGCCACTCCAGCCACAGGCCTTTCACCCAGTCTGCTGCACTGATGCAGCCCTTTCCTTCCACATAGGGTGAGTGCCTGTCTACCCCCACCTTAGGTCTTCCCCCACCTCCCTAGTTACAAAAGTCCAACCCATTTCTCAAGGGTTACCTAGCATGCCTAACCCCATTCACATTTAATCTGCTAATGCCCCTATCTACTTTGGAGGGGGTGAAAGGAGAGCCCTCATTTCGATCTCCAAACCCCTTGGGGGTGGGTTCCCGGTGGGTACCAAAGAAAAAATAATCAAGAGCTAATTTATTGAGCTTTGATAATTTGCTCAGCCATCATACTTTCCCCAAGCCACCCACTCCTAACCTCACCCTCTCCCTAGACAAAGCAGGTCAACTTTGAATCGAAGACCATGGAAAAAATTGCAAGTAATTGCGATGTATTTCTGATCTTTGTGTCAATTTTCCTGTCTGCACACCCGGGCGCAATCAGGAATTACTAAAATATATGCTTGTTATCTGCACGGTTGCTGCTCGGTTCCCTACCCGTGGCTGGCTTGAGTACAACAGATAGTTTAGAATGCTGCAGCAACTCCACCCAAATTGGGTTTGGTACATCAATGATGGGGAACTGTGGGCCCTTTACATCGCTGCCGCTGGGTCTGCTCATGTGAGCATGGGGGGTTGGGGGAGACCCAGGTCTCTGGGCCAAAGCGTGCTGGTACAGTGTAGCTCCTTTTGCTCGTACTCCCATCTACCCAGTAGGAATGGAGCTCCCCGTTTTGCCTTCAACCGACCCACCGGTTGCCCCAGAGCCCAATGCACATTCGCCCACAAATGCCTTTCTTGCAATTCCTCTGGCCATTGTGCATTTGCCTGCAAATCACATGCAAACAAAGCTAGCCAAAACCCCCAGTAATTCCAACCTCCACCTTCCCGTTTACAAACCTCCCTATGGCTCTTCAACAAATTGCTTATGCTGTCTTACCCGCACGCCCATACGTCTCGAAAAACTTAAACCATGGCCCGACGTATACCCGCTTACTAAGGCAGCTAGTACCCTCTGCATTGGGTTTTCTTGGGCTTCAAACTGGGTTATTCAGGTCCCCCACCTGGGGTGACTGGCAACCTACCAACCTACCGTCAGAAAGAATCCTGCGCTAGTTTTGGAAAAACTAGATAAAGAATATAGGTTAGGTCGCATGGCAGGCCCATTCCAGGCCTCTCTTATTGCTAACCTTCGAATTTCCCCCATAGGGCTTGTCCCCATGGCTGACTTGAGTAGCTATAGGTTAATTCATCACCTGTCCTTCCCAGACTCAGAAACAGGTAATGATGGGATCGATAGATACCTCTGTTCAGTCCAGTTTTTAAACTTTGATGATGCAGTTAGCTTGGTGGTTTGGTGTGGCAAAGGTGCTCTTATGGCCAAGGTTGACATCAAGTCCGTCTTCTGCCTTTTACCCATACACCCACATTATTGCTGCCTCCTAGGCATTCGCGTTGGGGACAACACTTATATTGACAAGGCACTGCTGACATGGTAGGTCTTCCTCCAGAATTTCAGTGACAGCACCATAATTCACGATCATTATTGGCTTCTTAATAACAAAAATCTCCAACTCTTTACTGATGCTTTTTAGGGAATAGGTTTTATTATTTTTTTTCAGGGCAGTTGCTTCCGTTGTACATGGCCCCAATCCATACTCAACTCCAAGCCCTCCATTGCCTGGTTGGAGTTTTTCCCGTAATAGCAGGGGAGGGAGTCCATCAGGCAAGAGAGTGCTAATTCATTCTGATAAAGCCACTGCAGTCTCCATCATCAACAAGCAGTCCTTTAAGTGCCCTTTAGTATAATGAGATTAGGCAAGGCGTCAAAAATATTTTTAGCATTCGCCTGCATCCCTGCCGTTCTGCACGGGAAGCCGTTCGCCCGTGGTGGAACGGGATAAAGATTCCACGGCCAGGGAAACTGGAATGGGGCATTGTATTCTCCATTGTTATTTAAATTGTCTTTTTTAACAAATACAATATAATCTAACAAATAATGAGGTAGATTTATTATTACAATAATTATTATCTGACTTGGACACCCATACACTAAAGTAATAAGTGTTAGAGGCAAAATCATTATTTTCAAGCGACTCCGCATTTCCCGATAAAAATAATACCGGAATAAATCCACACCATCCCTGCAGAAAAAACTCTCCCAGGAGTGATTGACAGCGTATTTGTCCCAGTAGACGCAATGCCAATCGTAAAAGTGTTTGGGTCACATTATCTTTAAAGATGCCACCAGTTCTTGGACTTCTTGCTGG